TGGCACCATAATGATGGGTGCATGTGGCACGTAGAAAGCATGGCGCATGACGCTTGAACTCTTGCTTTTGCCATGGGCGGTGATGACGGAAGAGTCGGACGAGTCGGAGGAGGAAGAGGAGGAGGAGGAGGAGGAGGAGGACGGAGGAGGAGGCGGAGGAGGAGGAGGAGGGGAGGAGGAGGAGGAGGAGGAGGAGGAGGAGGAAGGGAGAGGGAGGGGAGGGGGAGACAGGGGGGGTGAGGAGAGGAGGAGGAGGAGGAGGAGGAGGAGGAGGAGGAGGAGGAAGAGGAGGAGGAGGCAGGAGGAGGAGGAGGAGGAGACGAGGAGGAAGAGGTCTGGAGGAGGCGGAGGAGGAGGAGAGGGAAGGGGGAGGAGGAGGAGGAGGATGGAGGAGGCGGAGAAGGGGGAGGAGGAGGAGGAGGAGGAGGAGGAGACGCCAGTAGGAGGTGAGTCCAAGTCGCCCGAACCCACCCTGCAACGGATAAAACCAAAACTCGAGGGCCCCAGATTGGTATCAGCCAGGACCCAGGACCCTCAGCCGCTACCTAGGCGGCAGCCCACTCCTCAACCTCTCGAGGCGGGTCTTCTGGGCGCTGAGGGTCTTGGGGACCTCCGAGGGTCCCTGACAAGGGGCCTTGAGACCACGCGCCCTCCCAGACTCCCCAGCGAAGCAAGCGCGCCGCTCGCAGAAGACGTACACCCCCGCCTCGGCCATCCGATGGCCGAGGTCGCGGAACAAGGCCACGTCGGCAAAACGCCGCGCCCCAGAGTCCACCCCAGAGCCCGACGTCCAGGCGGGGCCCGTCTCAAGGACCCTTGCCGCCGCCTCCAAAGCGACGTGGGCCGCATCGGAGGTCGGCCTCCAATCGGAGCACCGCGAGAAAGCACGGGCGGCCTGCCAGCGCTGCACCTCGGTCGGCGTGCAGCGCGCCGAACAGGACCTGAGGGCGCGGAGACCAGCTGCAGTCCTTGTCGAGACACCACAACGCCTGCACCTCCATTCCTGGGCGGCATCACTCCTATACATGCTATGGCACACAAGTGGCTCTCCAAGCTCTAAAATTTGAACGGGGGTCGGGCGGGGGCCAGGCCTCGGACGAGAACGAACAGCCCTCTCCGACGACGACGACGCCCCAATCCCCAAGTCGATGGCCCGACCCCCAGCCCAAGCCAGATATTTGGCAAACTCCTGGCACTCCTTGAGCGCGATCCGAAACAGATCTGCTGTGCCCTGCCCAACCATCTGGCTGGCAGCACCAGCCTTGGCGAAGAAATCAGCCCAGGCATTGCCCAGGACGTGCAAAAAAGGCGGGCCAGATCCAGGGGTCGCCAGGGCAGCCTCGGACAGGTCCCTATGGGCAGGACACCAGTGCGTCATGGGCGGGACCCCTCCACGACGCACGACCGCCGCGCGAATCTGCCGCCGCACAGCAGCATGCTCGGCCCCTGGACCTTCAGACACCGCACTCCACTCCTGCGCTTCATTGGCCAGGCCTAAAAGATCGGTGGCGACGACCTGCAGCGACGGGATATTTTCCACCGCCCGCAAGTAGGCGACCCGCTCGGCGTCGCCCACCGTCTGACTGGCGCCTCCGAGTCTGCCATAGCACGCTCTTAGTGGCGTGCCCGACGCACTCAGCTGGACAACGCCCCAGCCGCACGCCCTAATCTCAGGTTGAGACGACCACATGCCTGACCCATCCGTGAACGCAGCATTGGGCCACTGCAAGGGGTCATATTCCCAATCCCCCCACCAGAAAATCGGTGGGTCGCGCGGAGGGCCAGGAGGTTTCATCGGGAGCAAAGGGAGCCCAACCGACAACTCAAAACTCTCAGGGTCCAGAGCGGCCCCTCGGCGCCCAACAGGCCCCTGGTCCAAAAACCTATCACGAGTTTTGGCCAGGGACTCAGAAATCGGAACTTCATCTTCAAATTCCAGCAACTGCTCACGCAGCACAGGGCACTCGAAAAACAGGTGACCACACGTCTCTCTGTCCGCTCCGCAGCCCCTACACTTAGGATCGGGGGCGAGCCCTTTGTCATGCAACTTGGCCTGGGGCCACCAGGAGTCATACCAGAGAGACCGAAGGATTCCAGCCGACCTGGGGTTTTTGAGCGCGGCCCACTTGGACCCAGCACAGGCGCGGATCCCACGGGGCCACAACTCAGCGTCCGCGGGGAAACCAGGAAAATGAGCCTGGATACGACGCATCTGCCAGCGCTGGATGCCAGCACGTAGCAACTTGATTAAATGTCGCGGATCAGTCTGCAGCAAAGAATACACCATTCCCTGATCGGAACGGATAAGCACCGACGACTCCATGCACCAGTCAACGCGGAGGAGAGACAAAGCCACCACCGAAAGCGGGCCCGAAGCGTGGAGCCAGGGGAACTTCTGACCCAGCGTTTCGGCCAGGGCCCTCCAAGCCCTCTCGATGGTACCCAGGGACACAGTCTGCATCCACACCACCTGGGCATAGTGTTTGACTGGAGCAATCGTGGCTTCAAAAATCGGGTCACACCACGGACCCGACTGAGACGCCAAGTAGACCGTCAAGGACCCCCCACGACCCTTGGCGCCAACCAAAGCCCCCGCAGCAGCTCTCAACTTCCGAAGCTCGGCGTCCGTGGTCCCAGAAACTGCACAGCAGTGACTAGCGCCTGGCAGAAGTCCAGTGCGCCACAGAACAGAAACACGAGTCCCCGCAGCCTTCTGCAGAGGGTAAACACGCTTCATCCGACGACCTAACTTAGCGATCCTCTGTCGGGTGAGCGGTCTCCTGCGCTCACGCTCCGATAGCTCGTGGCCAAGATTGCGCATGTTACGCTTGGCTTCCAGCCGAACAGCTCGGGCCCAGGGTTTTGAGGCCCGCAGGACCTTGCGATTGGCCACCACGTAGCCAGACTTCCCCGAGGCCGAGTCCTGGGGAACGATCCCGAGGGGCTTAACATCAGCTTTAAAGTTAGCCAGCGCATTAAAGAGCTTCGAACCCCCCCCGCCTCCTCCCCAACCCACTGAATCGTGAGGTCGTCGACCAAAGCACGAGGCACGACGCCACTCGCTCGGACGCGCCGCACCGCGCGCAGGGTGAGGAGAGTGAGAAGGGAGGTGGAATGGGCACAGCCTGCAAGCATGCCCTGCCAAGAAACTAAGGGCTCTGAATAGGAGGTGAAGGCCTTCAGTACCCTCGGCTGGCGATGGTATTCAATCACCACCCAGGCCAGGCGCAGCGGAAAACCATGGTAGCGGGCCTCACAGATCAGCTCGCCAGGGCTGACGGACTCGTAGGCCTTCCACGCGTCCACCGCCGCCGTCGCCGTGTGCCAGCCGAGCAGCGACGCAGCCTCCGCCATCAGGTTATACTCGAACGCCGCCGCCGAAGAAGTACGACCAACGCCTCCAGCTCCCCAAACATCCCGAAGGTCAGTCTGAACCACCCACTGCCGACTGATGGAACTGCGAGCCTTAGCCCACACACGAACCAGCGTCTGGACGAGGGCAGTGAGACGGGACCCTCCTCCTTCCTTCGGCAGCCTCACCAACGTGGTGAATATGCGATAACCTGGCCAGAAACCCAACATCTCGCACCGTTGGAACAACTTTGACAGCACAATGAGACCTGCATCCGAGAGGTGCCACAACGCACGCGGAGCAATGCCCGACTGACCCACGGCAGTCCTCGCCTTGAACTTCAGGAAGACCCCCCGCAGCATGGCCACGGACATCTCGGGCAACAGGTCCCAGTCGTCGAAGTCAGGGGGCCTAGCGCACTGCGTGAGGCCATGCACCGTCCAGATCTTCTTCCACTTCTCCATCTCCCGCTGCACGAGCTGATGGGGGCTGGCCCGCGTGGTCTGGTCCAGCACCTCCTGCAACGGATGGACCCGAGTATAACGATGGGCCATTGAAGCACCTTCACTCAAGGCATCACGAGCCCACTGCCGCCAATTGGCCCCTTGCTCACGTTCGAACTTCTTCCTGGCGTCATCGGCGCGATCCAGGAAGCTTTGCGCTGCCTGTCCAGCCAACGAGTCTGTCCAGACAGCGATGCCACGAGCCAAGAACTGCGCCAGGTCCACATCCAGCTTGCCCAGCGTCTCCGACGCCCGACCAATCTTCACGTAGAACTGATTCAGCTCGCACAGCAGCTCCACCAAACGAGAAGTCTGACCAACAGAGACCGAGCACACCACGTTGGCAGCCATCAGCCTCTGCCCGAGCTCACAGACCTGCTGCCGCATAGAGCGACCATGCCTGAGCCAACGTGTCGCCACCTGCAGCGCCGCTACCTGCGAAGTCTGGTACACTCTCCGCCGAGGGGGCTTCCACTCGAGCTTCGCCATGCGAAAGGAAACGTTGCCCCCGCGGCCTCCATGCGACGACCGATCCAGCCGTCTGTGTCCCCATCGATCAGACAGCTCACATTCGATACCATGCAATACCTGGTCCCAAGCACGCTGTAGGCCCACCTGGCCCTCAGCTGTCAGAACACAATGTAGAGCACGTTCCCATTCACGAGTACGCGGGAAAGGCGCGCAGCCAATCGGAGCCTCGGACCCCCAGCCACGAGGCTCCGCGGGCAGGCGAGCCCACGCCTCAACATCATTCACGGCCAAGGAACAGTGAACAGGGTGATGTGGATACAGCTCAGACTCCTGGTCCACCCAGGGTGGGTCCACCCGCAAAGCCAAATTGCTGCAAACTATGCCGAAGTCAATGATACTCCCTTGGCCTTTCACGCAGGTACACTCACGCGGCGCGCAATGGACTCCTGGGAACCCTTGGCTCCAACCTGTCATCAGCACACCCGAGCTCATGTTGAAGTCACCAACACAGACCCAATCGAGCTTTAAGGCCGACAGTAACAGCAAGTAGTGTTGCAAGTGGGCCTGAATGAAAGCGTTATCGTCATTGAGTCCAACCGAATCATGAAAGTAGGCTGACACAACCACAATGCCATTGCGCACGCCCCAATGGACACGAGCAGCACAAAGCCTACCAGGCGCGATGTCCTGGTCGAAGTAGGGCGCCGCCGTGACCGAGATGTGCGTCTTGGTGAGGATAGCCACTCCATTAGAGGTCCCACCACCATCTGATGGCACCGCAGCACTCCAAACTCCATGATAGCCGAGATCCTTCGCCTGATTTTGCAACGAACTCAGCCGAGACAGTGTACCATGATGCTCCTGCACAGCAATGATGGAGCTGGGCGGGCCAGCTGCTAAATACTTGATGAGAGGGCCGCCACTCGACACGTTCACTGTCGTGATGAGGCCTTTGACCACCCTCCCGTCGCCACCACGCCCACCTGCATGGGGAAGATGGGCAGGTGGCTGTCCTGACACATTTTTCGAGACTGCTACGAGCTCCACTGGGGACGAGAGATTCGCCAGCGGCTGCTGGTACCCTCTGCCGCCCGATGCCACGGAGGGCGAGGGTGGTGAGCAGTGCATACAGCCGCTGGCGTCTGAAATCGAAGTAGACGAGACGCATGTCGACCAGGTCCCGTCACGAGGAGGTAGCTCATGTGGCGACCTCTGCTGCGCCTGCTTCGCAGCAGGCCCAGTGAGTGCACCGCTCGACGCCGAGGAACCAGCCGCCCCCGAACTCCCAGCGCTGCATGCCGAACCCCCCGAGGTCGAGGTAGTGGGCAGAGAAGAACCTGAGAAAGTACCAGACATCATCATGGCAACCGGCAATAACCATCGCAGCACAAACATGATAATCCAGCAATTAGTGCGGGCTCCAGGCCTTCGCCCCACTGAAGGCTTTCTTGGCCATCGCCCGCAACTCTTCAACCTCAGACGGTAGCTCTCCGACGAATCCGACTGCCGATAAACCTTCCCGCAGCTTGTCCTCGTCCATCCCATCGAAGTCAGGCTCCGTGAACTTCGGCTTCTTCTGGGACGGTTCGCCATCAGATACAGCGGCACCCCCACCTCCACTAGGCGCTTGCACAGGTGCCACCAGCTTCTCCACCAACGGGTTGGCCTTGACCGCAACGAGCAATTCTCCGTGGACACCAGCCGCCTCCAGCAACGCATCCAGCACCGACGTGTCGAGCTGCCCACCAGCAACAGGCTTGGCCCCATCAGGAGGCTGTGGAGCCGAGTTGCCCAGCTGCTGCAGCTGGCCTTCAAGCTCCACGATGACAACCCGCTGGGCCGCTGCCTTCGACTCCGCCTCTGCCGCATCCTTCTGCAATTGCGAGAGCTCAGCCGCCTTAGCAGCTGCAACCTTCTCCAGCTTCTCCAACTTCGAAGTCTCATTCTGCAGCTTCGTGGACAACTGCCGAATCTGCGCACACAGCGGTTGCTTAGAACGTCGCTTCTCCAGCAAAGCACCCTTTGCCGCCAGCGCGTCAGCCGCCATCTGCTCCATGCCTGGCGCGCCGACACACGCCGCATGGATGCCCTCGTGAGCCGCGACCTGCACCATAATCTTCGCGTCCTCGTCGTCCTCCGACTTGCCCTGCTCCGTAAGCTGCACACCAGGTTGCGCCCCACCAGGCAGCTTCTGGGCATTCTGCTTGCGGAGCTCTGCGACCTCTGCCTGCAGCCGAGCGAGCAGCTTGGCCGTGTCCGATGGCGTCGCCCATGAAGGAGGGCGCTCTGGCTTGGCTTTGCGCACCGACGGGGCCTTGGGCTCAACATTGCGAAGGAAACACGAGCCCTTGTGCATCCAACCGCAGCCGTCTTTGACCCGCCCAGCACAGTACATCCTGTACCCTGGGTTGACCCAGGGCTCGCCAGAGCGCTGCACACAAAAGCGACAGAGCCAATCCAGCTTCTCAGGCGGAGGGGCCATGGCTGCGACGACTGGGGAGTCAGGTTGGAGGCTCGCGAACCCCTCGACTGAGGGACCTCCGTTCACACAGTGATCTGCCGCGGACTAGCGGTATCCGTTTTTGCCAATGCGGGCTCAGCCCGCCAAAGCATAGGTCTTGAGCCAAAATGGCTACGGAGGAGGAGGAGGAGGAGGAGGAGGAGGAGGAGGGGGAGGAGGAGGGGTGGAGGAGGAAGGAGGAGGAGGAGGAGGAGGAGGAGGAGGAGGAGGAGGGTAGGATGAGAGGCGCTTCGCATTCCTCCTCGAGGAGGAAGGAGGAGGAGGAGGAGGCGGAGGAGGAGGAGGAGGAGGAGGAGTGAGGAGGAGGAGGAGGAGGATGGAGGGGGAGGAGGAGGAGGAGGAGGAGGAGGAGGAGGAGGAGGAGGGGGAGGGGGAGGGGGAGGGGGTGGAGGCGGCCGAGTGCCTCTCGCGCGCGCTCGAGTCAGCAGCGAGGGGGTCAAAAACTGGCGCAAGCCAATACCCTGCAGGCGCTTCGCTGCACGAGCGCGACTCCAGCTCCCCTTGCAAAATCCGCCACCGTGCCCCGAGCACGAAGTGGAGTGCTCCCAGGTCCTCTCGAGTTCTATGTGCTGCACATGTGGAGCGAAAGCTGCCATACTTCTTTGGCAATTCGCGAAAACTCGTAATGGCCTTCGACGCATACCCGGCCACCGGGACGCGTCCATAACAACCGGCTCCCACTGGCGTTCCCGTCCAGGATGGCTCTCAGAGGGCCTCTTTGACGCCATTACGGACACAGATGGCCTCCAAGACGGCCCAAGATGATCCAAGATGGCCTTAATAGGAGCCCAAGGTGGCCCCAAGAATGCCCAGGGTGCCCCCAAGAAGCCTGCAGGAGGCTCGCAGGAATCATAGATTCTAGGATTCGCGCTTTTTTGGACTGGGCATTGTCCAGGACTGCCCAGCAGACCCCAAGATCGCCCGAAGACGGCCCAAAGAGGGCCCTAAGGGGCCCCAAGATGGTCTCCAATTCGGCCAAGGTGGCGCTATGTGGCCTCCGCGACTGTCCAAGACGCTCTCCGCGACGGCCCAGATGGCCCAATATGGCTCCAGAACAGCCCCTGATGGCCCCAAGAGGTCCCCAGTAGGAGTCTCAGAGATCTCCTCCTCCTCAGCTTCGTCTTCGCCTTCCTCCCTCCCCTCCTTCCCGCCCTCCCTGCCCCCCCCAAGAGAAGAGTCCCCCACGTGGCTTCCACAACCACCAAGGGAATACGTCGCCCAGCAAATCGGCCAAAGCCAAGCCCACCGTTCGGCCATACAGGGGTCCCCAGAGGATGGGAGGGGGCGACGGTGCCTCGCCGTAGACGTCTTCGACGCGCAGAACCGGTAGAACTACACACAACGTCGCAGGAAGCCAGCCTCTGCCGTCCACACGCTGGTCGCGGGAAAGCGCAGCGTCAGAAAGCCGCTCCTCTTGCTCGTCTTCGGCTGGGCTTCCGGGAGGGTTAGGGATCTCCGGCACGAGATCTCGAAATGCAGCCCTCGACCCTACACCCGTAGTAGGGGCCTGGCCACAAGAAACCTTCCGCAAGAAACCCAGACCCGAGACTCCAGGACGTCCATTGAGCTCCGGCGTGGGAACGTCGCGCTTTCCATCGCAAAACCATCGAATCCCAAGAAACCCAGGGCACCCTGGAGGCCAGCAGGGTGCTTCTAGGCATGGGTCTCGAGATTTCCAGTGCTTCTTGGCATGGGGGATCGAGGTCCGACGCTCCGAGGTCCGATAGAGGAGCGAGGACTCCGAGGAGGAGGAGGACGAGGACGAGGAGGAGGAGGAGGAGGAGGAGGAGGAGGAGGAGGAGGAGGAGGGAGGGGGATGAGGAGGAGAAGGATGAGAGAGGAGAGGAGAGGGAGGAGAGGAGAGGAGAGGAGAGGAGGGAGAGGAGTGGAGGAGGAGGAGGCGGAGAGTGGAGGAGGATGAGGAGTAGGAGCGGAGGAGGAGAGGGGAGGATGAGGAGGAGGAGGGGAGAAAGGAGGGGAGGAGGAGGAGGAGGAGAGGAAGGAGGAGGAGGAAGCGGAGGAGGAGGAGGGGAGGAGGAGGGGAGGAGGAGGAGGAGGAGGAGTGATGGAGGAGGAGGAGGAGGAGGAGGAGGAGGAGGAGAGGAGGAGAGGAGGAGGAGGAGGAGGAGGGCGGAGATGGCGGAGGGCGGAGGAAGGGCGGAGGAGGAGGAGACGGAGGAGGAGGAGGAGACGGAAGAGGAAGAGGAGGAGCAGGAGGAAGAGCAGGAGAAGGAGGAGGAGGAGGAGTAGGAAACGGAAGAGGAGGAGGAGGAGGAGGAGGAGGAGGAGGAGGAGGAGGAGGAGAGGGAGGAGGAAGGAGGAAGGAGAGGCATGCTTCTGTACGTCAGTTCCACATTCCGGGATTTCGGAAGGCAGCCGTCGAAACTTCGAACTGCAGCTCTCCAGTGGTCTTGCGTCCTCGAGCCTGCAGAGAGATGCAGCCAGGCAGCCGCCGAACACCCAGGAGGGACGAGGGCGACGAGGAGGGAGCAGGAGCAGGAGGAGGGCGAGGACTCTCGGAGGGAGGACGAGGACCACATGGGATGATGATGATGATGATGATGATGATGATGATGATGATGATGATGATGAGGAGGAGGAGGAGGGGGAGGAGGAAGGGGAGGAGGAGGAGGAGGAGGAGGAGGAAGATGAGGATGAGGAGGATGAGGATGAGGATGAGGATGAGGATGAGGATGAGGATGATGATGATGATGATGATGATGATGATGATGATGATGATGATGATGCTGATGATGATGATGATGCTGCCGCTGAT